CACACACACACACACAAACACACACACACAAGCTTTTCAAATGTTTTGATTCATCCAGTTATTGCTGAACGACCATATTTGGCGATGGAAGCCAAGCAAATACCAAAGTCTAGCCGAGTGTCATTAACCATGTTATCATGCAGTGGTTACAGTCTTGTTCAGTACTGGACCATTCATGCTGCGGGAGCCACGGTGTCAGTATCATAGTATAATACTAATTAATTACATTAGAATTAACTACATTTGTATTCATAACACTAACCTGCGTGAAAGACAGCGAGCTGGTGCGAGAGCATGTGAGAGAGCGTGTGTGAGCAGTTGAAACGAATTGGTTATATTATGGCCGGTAATTAGTTTCTCTTCATAAAAATGTCTCTGTCTCATGTTCAACATCATATTTCAGTCTCGTTGTAAAGAGTGCTCTTTGTGTGTGTGTGTGTGCTTCTGCTGTCTGGCTGGAGTTGGTTACTAATGAACACCTCAGGGACGCTGTAGAGAGATGAAGAGAGGGACGGTCTGTGGGAATGAGGGACGTCTGTGGGAGACTTGGGAACAGGAGATGAAAGCAAAGATGAAATCTTCTCCACTCTTTTTTTTTATGACGCCTATAAGCGAAGCAGTTAGTCTCCAGACAGCGGTTACTGGAGAGGAGTCATTTAGAAAATGCTTTGCTACAGAAGTTACTTTGACAAATGCTGCAAATATTCAGTGAAAAATGTCCCTTTGAACATTTTAGCAATTCAACACAGAGCAGCTCCATAGTTCCTGGAGGACAGTTCGGTCCCTGAATATGGTTTAGTCATTGTTTCAGCGGAAATCTAGAAGAAATGAACTTCGTTCATTTGTATTTTCAATTATTAACAAGTTTGACCAGTGTTTAAATGCCACACATGGATTGTTGGTTGTGTCATTTTCTTATTTTTGCCTTTATTGATCCTCTAAATATAGAGTGACTGGACAATGGGACAAAAAGAGAAGATGAGGGTGTTTTGTGGCAAAGCTCGTAGACTGATGATGAAACAAAGATGTTTCAGGCTAATCCTATCACAGGTGTAGATCATGAACTGTTTACAAAGACAGACGACGACTCTCCACTTCCCACTGTAGAGAAATGAAGCCAAAGCATCCTCGTTTACAGGTGCTGCTGAATTATGCTGCTGACGTCTTACAAGTCCCTCTCTCCTTCTGTCTCTCCGTCAGATCTGGGACATCCGCTCTCTGGAGTGCGTCCACGTCCTCCAGACCAGTGGCGGCAGCGTCTACTCCATCGCCGTCACCAACCACCACATCGTCTGTGGCACCTACGAAAACCTCATCCACGTAAGAGACATGAACACAGGGACACAAACACTTGCCTTGTCCTCCCGGACACGTGTTCGTTGAACTCTCTTTTCTCCAGGTTTGGGATATTGAGTCCAAAGAGCAGGTGCGGACCCTCACAGGTCACGTGGGAACAGTTTATGCTCTCGCTGTCATCTCCACCCCGGACCAGACCAAAGTGTTCAGCGCCTCCTACGATCGTTCCCTCAGGGTGAGGATTGATAATCACAATGACCTTCGATCCGATTGTTGACCTTATTCTGTCATTTCTCTGATTATGATGTTTACTAGTCCTGTTTTAGACGTTTTATTCATCCAGATATGTGTGTTTGTATAAAACTAATGTAGAGGAAAGAAGTGTGTAACACAGCTACACTGTTGTTGATGTGTTGTGTAGGTGTGGAGCATGGATAACATGATCTGCACCCAGACTCTGCTCAGACACCAGGGCAGTGTAACGGCTCTGGCTGTCTCCAGGGGGCGCCTGTTCTCCGGAGCCGTCGACAGCACCGTCAAGGTACGACACGTTGTCCTCAGTCAGCTGCTCCACCTGCTGTTCGTGTTTCTGCTGGTGTCCGCTCAGATTCCACGTTCGCTGTCCCTCTGTGATTCTGTCCCCTCCTTCAAATGTCCAGTTTATATTTCACACAGAACACACCCGGCTAGTGTTCTAATCTTTCAGAATAAAAGCACTTAGAAATAAATGAATATCACGAAAATTGTAACGTTTTCTTCCTGAGCTTTTTAATCTGCAGTTACATAAACATAATATTTAGTGAACTCTCCAGACCAGAGACAAACTCCAGATAAAGTCCAGACCCAATTGCGCAGAAGTTCTCCAGAGTTCATGTGTGAAAGCAGCTGTACAGTTTGAATGCCTTTACTTTGAGTTTTCATTTTGCTGGATCTTTCAAACTGAACTTTCCTCTCTCTGTCCCTCTCAGGTGTGGACCTGCTAAACGAACTTCTGGCTCTCAGTTGAGTTCAGACTTCACATCCCATCAAAGTTTCCGTGAGGTTTCCTCGTCCACGCCCGTTTCTTTGATTGTGATTTAACAGCCGCAGACCAACAGTAACCACCACCGCCATCGAGCTGCATTGGAACTATTTTACTGAGTGTTGCTTTTAAAACGTCAAACAGTCCCACGCGTTGACCCCGACCTTCAGGGCGGCAGGTCAGCTCCACGTCACGCTCTCTGTGACTCAGTGCATTATGGGGCAAAATAAGACGAGCTGCCTTAACGGTTGCAACGCCAAATCTGAGATTGAATGAGCGCTGTAATCAGAGCGGGAAGCAGAGAGGATTATGGGTAGTAGATGGTCCTGTCTGCTTCCTGCAGATACACCTGCCATTTAAGAACTGTACTGACGATGCCTAATGTAAACTGTCCACACGTGTAACGGCTGGTTTCACAAACGTGGAGTGACGCAGCGCTCGCTCCAAATCTTTCATGTTCTGTGACTTTTAAATCCCAGAATCCACCAAATCACAGACGAGTCAAACATTTTAAAGGAGACATTCAAATTAAAATCAAGTTATTTGATGCAGTAGCAGCAGTTTTATGCTGAAATGAACGCAAACAGTGATTTTTTATGCGTCTGAGGTTATCGAGCCCGACCCAGACAATCTGAAGGTTGTCGCTCCCTGGACGGGGTCAGGGGTCAAAGGTGCCAGCTTCAAAAATCCAGTATTTGTCGGGCTATAGTAACCATGACAACACGTATGCAGGTCACCCAGTGATTGTAGGATCACCGTCACATTAACTGTACAAGACGCATCTCTTTGGTCCCGTTTCTTTTAACTCACCGTCAAGTTAGGTTTTTATCATTGTCGGTTATTTTTTTCCCGAAAGCGGCAGCAGAGGCAGCGATAACTTCTGCTGTCACTCACCTGACTTTCACTCTAAAGCTGCGCTCACGCCAAACGCAGACGAAATATTTGCGGAGCTACTCGTGAGCCACTGACACATCAGCCTGCGTGTGACCTGGCCGTCGCTTGTGTCGCCTGGTGTGTTCACCGCCTCTGCTTTGACTTCTTAAGTAATCTATTCGTGTGAAATATTCCTAAACAAAGCAGAAGTAAAACAACATGACTTGTGAAAGTGACCTGACGTTTGCGACCACTGTTGATTCAGATCAGAGCAGCTGGTGTGTTAATAACAAGCATCGAGACATTTCCAGAGAAGTTTCCTTTTCTCTCTTACTCACGTCAACATTTCTGTCGCTCAGTTTTGTGAAACCAGCCTTTATAAAAACTCCTTTTCATAACAAGTGAAGACTTAAGAGAGAGAATGACAGATCTATAGATTTACTGAGTTTTATATTAGTGCCATGATAGAGCTGTGTTCAGAGCCTCTCGACGGTTGTACAGTTGTGTAAAGTAACGTGCCGAGTCGTGGACGTGTGCCCATTACGATGACTCACGCCGGCCTGGTCGCCAGAGAGACAGGCGGTGAGGAGGAGACGTCAGTGTGCATGTATGTGTCTGTTGTCGTGTACATGGGTGCGTGTTTCAATGAGTGCCATACGTGTGGATGAGACGTTAAGAAAGACTGTAATGACTCATATTTCTCTCTCCTGATCCCCCGAACACTTTCAGACCGCAGCGCTCGACGAAGCGAAGGCAGCCGGGGAACTGGGTGTGGTTTTAGACGATCACATGATCACAAGAGTATTACGTTTTCATTTCAACACACATCTGGACGCCACTTCCTGTAGCCTCGGAGATAAGGGCGGGGGAGGGGAGAGAGAGTTTTCCTCACTGGTCGGTGTCAGTGATTTCTTGTAAACTTGTAACCATGTTAAGCCTGAGTTGATCATCGATCAATAAAACTGTTGTACACTTTGATTAGTGTTGATCTGATTCATTTCAACCATTGAACTTCAGCTGCTTCTCGTGCAAACTGTCCATCCGTCCGTTTTCTTTCTCGTGAACGCGACACCTCAAGAGTCTGGTCGGAGAATTTCTTCAAACTTGGTACAAATATTCACTTGGACTCAACGATGACTTGATAAGAATTTGGTGCACGTCATTTAAATTTCTTTCAAATTCAGACGTGCTACATCCCGGAGGTCAAAAGTCACGGTGGGCTCATAAGACGTGTTTTTGGCTTCTTGAATGTGAAATATCAAGAACATCTTGAGGGAACTTCTTCAACTTGTTATCAGTTTTCACCTGGACTCAAAGATGACGTCATTAGGGTTCAGCGGTCGGAGGTCAAAGGTCACAGGGACCGCACGTGAATCTGGAAAACAAAGTTATGTAGATGAAAACTTCTGGTCAGCGGAGGAAAAGCGAGGTAAAGTGGTATTTCTAGTTTACTTCTAAGATACAGATACAACTTACACACTGCAGGATGTTATTGAGCGATTAGTAAAAAGTATTTTATCCTGTTTTCTGTTTTAAAATTTGAAATCATTAAAGTGTGACTTTAACTTTTCATATTTGTAAATGAACCCTGAGTTGTTCTGTATATTTGTTAAGACAGTCTGAGTACTTAAACCTTCTGCCACACAATCTGACAGGTGGAAACATTTTCTAATCTTCCTGTTTTTGGATTTTACAGATGAAACGTAGAAGCTGTGACGTCGCACGGCCACGAGTCGTTGTTTACTCTGCAGAGATTCCGTCTGAGGGCCTTAACGATGTCACGACACCAAAACAGTTTGTATATAACATTTATTTATTCAGAGCAGACGGCCATAAGATGCAGTCACTGCAAGCACGCCACTGTCCACACGCACACACACGTGCACACACA